GCGGCGACCGTGTCCGCCGACGGTCCGCCGCCCGCGAAAAAACCGTACGCCGGACCCGCGCCCGGTGTGACCGCGTCCACTGGCGGCGTCTACGGCATGGTGACCGGCGCCGTGGCCGCCGCGGCCGGAGCCTCGCAGTGGCCGCCACTGGGCTCCAGCGCCGAACTCCAGCACCACGAAGGCAAACGCACCATGGACATGGTGCAGCGGCAGTACCATCAACAGCAGCATTTGCAAGCCAGTCTGCCGCCGCCGATGATGACGGCCGCTTTGCCCACCGACAAAACCCATATGACAGGTTAGTTTGGGGCACACGTACCGATTCACCCGGTACAAGGGTTGTACATGATTTTTGATTTCTCTTAACCCCTACGTGCCCGTCCCTCTCCGAGGGTTGATTGCAATGCGATTATAGCGCAGATCGATATCCGCTCGTCGGCATTGTTTTCTTCCCGGAAACGCGTAAAATCGTTGATATTAATCGGTCAATATCGTCTTCTTGTTAAATCGTTGACAGTCTTTTAATTAATTTTCATTCGGTCCCTCGATCGTCTTCGTATTTTTCCGGCGCCAGTAGACGCGAATTAATACGATAGTTTATTTTTGGCGTTCTCGTTTTATTATTATGAATATTTTTACGTGCTTGCTCGCGGTTTTCGGCATCGTCGCTTCTGGATAGAGAAAATAAATTAAACTATTTTCCATATCATCGCTTCCCGGCCAAGAAATGCGGAGATAAACATAATTTTTTTTTAACCGAAATCTTAATAATATGTTATCCAGTGGTGATTTAGTTAAAAATGTTGTACGGTGCATAACATTGCGATTCATTATGTATTGGCAGCGCGATGGCGATAGGACTAGGGTGGTGGACGTCCGTACGATTTTTAACGTTTTAAAAGTTTATGATGAAAAAAGGCGCTAATTTTTTCGTGTTTTCGTCTCGTATTGGTGGTGAACGAGAAATTAGTATTCCTCCGGTGCGATGGGGCCTATTGCTCACACAAAGAACGCAGTACATGTAATAGCGGAAGGAAAGGTGAGGGTTTTTTATCACATTTGCGTCCGTAATTAACGTTGATTTATAGGTTTAAATAAAAAAAAAAAAAATGAAAGAATTAGGTAAGGGTAAAGAAGAAACCTTTGTTAATTACGTACTGTGCGAGTCATATAAAAATGTAGCCTTTGAAACTCGGGTTTTTATGAAATGTATTTTTTTTTATTTTTTTTTTTTAAATCGAGATAATTTTTGTAGCGCAACGCGCAAAGTTTTCTTGAAATAAACACCCCTCGTCAAAATGTGCGAGGCGTGTTAAATCACAGTGCTGACTTCACATAGCTTTCGGTATATATACTAATTACGCTCGCTTTATTTATTTTATCTTATTTTTTTCGGGCGCAGCTCGGGTATTTCATTTTATTCTGTTTTTTTTCTTTACCCGCAGTTACGTGGGACTTTGTCCCTCGGGGGCCCTCGCTAATAAATTACATTAATAACGTTACCGCTGCCGATAAATTATTATGGCCTAGGGTTTAAAACTCCCAAATTACAAGTCATGCGAACGTTGTCGATTTTATTTTATTCTATATATATATATTTTTTTTTTTTTTTATAAGCGAAACCGCATTTTAATAGAACGTGACCCCTCTCCTCAATACTCTGCAGCTGCCTGCCGTCATATGGACACAGAACAACGAACTTTCTTGTACAACGTGTACTATATATACACGTAAAATGTGATGTCTATAAATAATGTACAATATTTTTGACGTGTCAACTTTCAAACGACCTCGTGTCCAGAATTCGTTCTTTAATTGCACGTACACGAAAAACGTATTGGAAAAAAAAAAGCAACGATATATTATCGACTAATTAATGTGGTGTGGTACCATAATAAATCTTACGCGGTCGGGCGCGACGGGAGCCTCTAGAGTATTTAAATATTAATTAATATTTTATACACTTCGATATATTTTGTAACCGCAGCGATTAACAACACACAGGTGTGGATCTAGTCTTTATTAGCCCGCGGGAAGAAAAATACAAACGGTTAAAATATTTTGCAGTGTATCGCAGTTACACGACGGTGACCTTATGGTAAATTAAAATTTTCCAAACCTAACGCTCGGAAATGTTCGCTCTTCGTGTTTTGTGTAACCCCCAGTGGTTGGCGGTGACGGCCCGCGTCTAATAATAATAATAAAAATAACAATCGCCTTTTTTCATCATCATCGTCGTCGTCGTTATATTATTTATTCCTACACGTCTGAAGTAATAATAATAAAGAAGTAAATAATAGTGTGCATGTGTCTATCTATCTATCCATCTATTGAAATTTTGCTCATGACTCATGCATAACTTGCCCGCCGCCGCCGCCCGATACACACTCACAATGGTGTCAGACGGTTGAAACGGATACGGTGTGTATACGCTCATTGTATTCAGATATTACGGCACACACACACACACACACACGCACATTCGGTCATCCTTTTTATGTACTGGTGTGTATTCGTGTGCGTGTCACTTGTTGTTAATGGCTTCGCATCCCAAACGACGACGACAATGCGTGAGCTTATGTGTACACAATGGAAAGCGGGGGCCCTGGGGGAAGTCGTGTTGAAATTTATCGTCTTCGAAAAAGGCGACGGATACAAAAAAAAATTGTGTGCTGGGAACGGCATTATCAGCTCTCCCTTCTGACGGAACGAATTTTTCGTTATTTTACTTACTGCGTACACCACCGCGACTTGACTTGCGGGACAACTTCTTTTTTTTCGCGTTACAGAAGAGTATTTCGGGTTTGACTGCTTTTATATTTATAATTTCACTACGCTAACGTTAAGATGTCGTATCATCCGAGGGCTGATCAGGTCTCGTTAAGTTATACATATATTTTTTTTTTTTTATTTGTAATTTTGATGATTGCCTAATAAACGTAACAGCGTGATTTTTGCCTCATCGAGATTTGTCATTGTCTCGGTCGTGTTGGACTTACGATACACGTAGTGCCAACACGATGCTCATAGAATATGACTAAAATCTTCGTTGTCAACCTATCCGATGATTCAACGGTATTAAATTAGGCCATTTACACGCGTTAATGTGTGTGTGAGAAGAAAAATCTATTTTCCCGGTACTGTCTGGAATAATGTTGAATTTTTTTTTTTCTCGATGCCACGTGTAAAATAGTTATCATCACGAATGCTCTTATGTTGTGTACAAGACGTGCGCCACGGAAGACGATGACTTATATATTTTGTCAACAAATACCATTCATCTGTCGGTTTTATAAAAAAAAAAAATTATCAAAAAACGATCGGTATAAAACCCCTTGAGGTTTTCTCTTCGTATACATGTTATATAAAGTATACACTCAGACGCAATACGTTTAATTCTAAACTATTTGACCCTAATTTTTGTCACACGATCTTAATTTGTCCCTTTCCCAACTCCCTACACTCACCGCATTCATGGTTGTCAGATTTTATTAGTTTCCGTCTTCGCAGTTGTCAATTGGATCTCATTAAAATCAATATCTTACCCTCCATATATTTATACACAATCATAAATTGTACATATTAATACATCCGAGTGGTACCGGGACGAGAGCAAATACTATAATATCTTTACTTAGAGATATACCGGGTTAGCAGGAGCAAGAGGTGCGGTGTAGGCCACAAGGACCAATTGGTGTTGGTTACTCATATACGATACTGTATACAATGCGACTCGTGTGATAGCCATCTTTGGATTTTATATTTTTATAAAAGTACTCGAAGATGATTATTATTATGATGATGGGAAGCCCGACACGCACGTAAATCGTATACTAACATAAAAGGATGTCGTTGGCATTATGCTCGTGACATGACTTGCCTCTCCTCTCCTGGAAAGGATTTGCAGGAATTTCGATTTTTTTTCCTTCGTTCTCGCAAACACTTGAATCCACTTGCGAAAGAACGACGGGACATCGTCGCGTATAAGGTTTATAATTTGACAACCACGCAGCATACCGTCACGAGATACAAGTATTATATATTGTATGGACGTACTCGACCATAGGGGAGAGGGAAACCCGATTTCAAATTGTTCTTCTCACATCGTATTTGTGCATAGCGATTTCACTGTTCTGTATTATGTGTACATGTCGAATTCATATGTATTTTTTTTTTACGGTCGTCCATCTTTGCCCGCCGCCGTAACCTGCTCGCGTCGTCACTTTTTGCCGATCGGTGTTTTTTTTTATTTTATAATCGATACGGTCGATCTCTGAATTGCACGAAATATTGTATACAACACTTGGACACATGATTACTATTTATGGTTAGAGGAAGCGGTTATATGCGAAATTTTTAATATTTCGCGTATTACAGGTGTACATATAATACATATTATAGTGGTCATCGATTGCAAGGCAATTATTTTACGCACATTGTCGTGTTCTCCCTGCGGTATTTAACATATACACGGTCCGCAGTTTATATATGGTAATTATTCAACGTAAAGACTTTGGGCGAAAAAACACCTTATATACATATATAATTGATGGTCGATGGCGCACATGCGTATATACATGGGTATGTGTTTTTGTAGAGGAAACAAATACCGCGAGTTTTAATTGTATTTCCGTTAAATCATCAGGAAGTGAATTCCTGCAAAGGTTTGTTATCATCCCTTGTCACGGCCGTTTGGTATTATACCCGCGCAGGCGGTACGGGCAAGAAAAACATTCCGCGCGACGAATTCCTCGTTTCCCAAAACTGTGTGCGAGCACGATGTATACACTCCGTGCGAAATGGGAAGAAAGAAAAAGCGCGCGCAAAAGGCGTCCGTCCTTTGTCGACATTTTGATCATTTTTTTTTTTTTTTTTATTATTTTCTTCTTCCATCATCCGCCACCATCTCCACCCCGTCGGGCGGGTGTGTGTGTTTTTCTTTTTTGGCCCATAGGTCCATTACCCGACAATATCGGCCTGACGCGATTTATTGCAATAATTTACAATCGTTACACATTTATAATACACGCGCACAGGAGGATCGGTGTTCGCATTTATAATAATATATATCGCGCGGTACGCTGCGCCAAGAGGTAGAAAGAAATAAAGAGTGAGCGTGGGGAGGAGAGGTCTTTCCTTTATTGTGCGTTATATGTTCTCTACGTTGTTATTTATGTGGTTCGCGGAATGCGTATGTGTGCCTGTGTTTGGTATACGCATTCGCATAACGACCGATAAACCGTTGGACCGGAAAAATGATAATTTAAAAACGTACCAGACCACTTTTGTGTCATTTATCGAATTTTCCTGTAGGTGCTGAGCAGTTCTGCGTATAATATAGTTTTCCTGTTAAATCTAATCAGCTGCTATTGCAATTTCTTTATTATCATATAGTAGGTACACAACTTTGAAAACTTATTAAAAAAAAAAAACTAAAAAAAACAATAAACATTACCTCTCGTTGTGTTTTGCGAATCATGACGACGATGGAACAATTTTAAAAGCACTATTCGTGTGCGTAATTGGTTTAAATAATTAGAACGTTATTCTAACCATATACATATAATAATATAACTATAATATGCATATCAACAATAATAGAGAAAATCCGAACGCAGTTAATACTTCAATTATATCCGTGAACACAAACGACAAATACTTAAATATAGGTCAGAAGGAGGCCACGCGGCCGTTGCTGTGTCATTCGTTATAAAATCAAATATTAACCGATAAAATGTTTGTAGAACTGTGTACATGACTTATGTTACTTATGTTTTCGAAATGTATTACTCGTCGTGTTGTTGTTGGATACGATATGGAAAAATTTACGTTACATGGTTTTTTTTCTTCTTCTTGGTCGTGTAACGTTGATTATTATTTTTCCGTCTCGTATAGATAAACATCGGTAATATACATCCACTGCATTTTTACGCATTAAATCAAATTGGTGTAAAATGTTTTGTTTCTTAACAATGCGTATTGCTCTCCGAAGATTTGTAAAATAAAAATACGTTTAAATGTATCCCTTTGTTTGTTGGTGTATATACTGTCGGTGCATATTTTTCACGCATCTAAAAATTATAATACCGAGTACTAAACGAAATTATTGTACTGAGAGAAATATTATTTTCGATTTTTGCAAGAAACATATTTAATAAACTGACACTATACAATTATGCGTGTATATATATATTCTTAAAACATTTATTTTATTTTTGTGCGAGTTTAATTATTATATGCTATTTTTTCACTTAACACTAATACGTTTAAATATTTGAATCAAAAGAAATGAATAATTCAGCAATTTAATAGAATTCAATGTAATCGCAAAGAAGTTTCAAAAGAATCATTTCTTGATGAGTTTTTTTAACGGTTGGAATAGGATGTGACACTTAACTTCAGATCGTAGTTTTAATATTATTTCTATCTATATAGTCGGTCACGAAAAAATACTTTGTCACTCGAATAAAAGAAGACGAGGATTTTTAATAGCTTCAACGTTTAATAATATTCTTATAACCGGGAGTTGGTCTTAAATATTAATATGTTGCCAAATTTAACTTTTTAATTGGCTTATTTTATAAAGTCCCGTCGAGTAAAATCAATTCACGTCGACGAAATACATTATTAATGAATTACAAAACCTAGTCAGGTTTGATCAGGTTAACCTGTATCGAGGTGATGTTTGTTTTATATTATTTTTGTTGAGGTTTCCGTTGTGTATTGAAATATTAAAAGTTATATGAATGAAATAAAACTGAAAACTGTTTGGTAACACACGACGTTACGTAAATAAATATGTTGAGTTATATATCTACGTGCCACATAGGATATATACGTTACAAGAAAAAATAAAAAGAATCCTTCGTGCAACTATCAGTTTGATGAAATAGATCGACGAGTTTTTATTTTTATTTTTTACTGTGTGTATTGTCTGATTAGAAAAACTATTTTATATTGATCGTAATTTTGTTGTCTTTAAACATTTTTTTTTCTACGTTATAAGGGAAGAAAAGCTTTTTTTTATCTTGTCGATTCGTCCAAAAGAAGTTTTGCGACGGCGGAGACTAGCAGGTATATAATATCTGGCTCGTTTTTGTCGATTGTAATGTAAATAGGGTCTTCTTTATATTAATTCGTCGGCATTTCTTTGACTTCGAGTAAATAATTAAAAAAAAAAAATGTTAAAAAAAGGATCAAATAGTTTTAATTAAAAGAAAGAAAAAAGATACGAAAAATATAAAGAAAGAAAAAACGTGTTCTTATGGCGTTTTTTTTTTTGTCCATGTTTAGTGCCGAAAGGGTGTTCTTGCTGCCAGGCGAAATTATTAAAGCGCAAAGCCCAACAGCCACCGTCGGTGCCACAACAACCTCCACAACAGCAACATCTCCTCCATCATCATCAACAACAACAAATACCACAACAACAACACCATTTACCACCACCTCATATACAACAACAGCAACAACAACAACACCTCCACCACCACCATCATCATCAGCAGCAACAACAGCAGCAGCAGCAACAACAACAGCAGCATCAGCAGCAGCAGCACCACCACCAACAACAACTCCACCACCACCATCAGCAACAGCAGCAGCATCACCACCACCACCACCAACAACAACTCCACCAACAGCAACAACAACAAGAGTATCACAAGGTGAGGCAAAACGAAGCGCCACCACAACTTTGGGGTTTTAACGGTACTATCGCTGCGGTGTTGCGCAACGAGTATAGTAGCAAACCGACGAAAACGTTGGGACGCATTACCGACCCGATCAACAATATCCTGACGCCCACGTACATGTTTTAAGCGGCAGGAATCGTATGGGCCAACGACGAGGAATTATCATGCATCCCTTAGCCATCGTTCGAGACCTGCAGTCGTTGCCGCCTTCTCGTTATAGTATACACATACGTATAGATTATACCCGTACGCTGACGACGATTTCAATATTCTATATTTTTAGTCGAGAGTTGTTAAAACGATAATGTTTATTATATCATTATTATATTTTGTGATTGTTATAGACGGGGAAAGAAAAAAGTTATGATTTTTTTTTCCGATTTGATTTCACTAAAAAATTATATTAAAAAAAAAAAAAAAAAACAAAAAAACAAAAAAAAAACAAAGAGAATTGGATTATTTGTACGATGAAAAAAAAAATTAAATTACGTTTATAGAGCAGCAGCAGCGTGTATTAGACCGTGCGCGAAAAGATAATAATAATATATTGTAGTTATTATTATAATAATAACAATAATGAATAAAAAAAAAACCTATGCATATTTATTTGTTAGCGTTAAGTTTTAACTTATAATTTGTTAATAGACACGTACACATACCGTGTAAGATATTAATATTTATTTGGTACGATTGTAACGATATAAACAATATATTCATATTATTATATATTATATTCATCTGTGTAGAAATAACAGTGTTTGGCTGCGGTGTGTTCGCCGCGTATTATTGTTGATCTATTTTTATTTTTTTTTTTAATCTCCGGCGGACACCCGTAATATATTTTTTCGTAATATACATTGCACGGAGCGGCAGAACGTGCCTCGTCGTTGTACATATAAAATTCCAATTTTTCTTTTTTTTTTTCTCTATTAGTTCGTGCGTGTCGCTTTTTGTGTTGGCTGTGAAATATTGTGATAATAAAAATTAAAAAAAAAAAAAAATTAAGAAGAAAACGCACGAATAAAAATAATATTTACTACTCACTGTTTTCGAAAATCGAGAAAAACAACAACCGTTTTCTCTTTGTCTCTCTCACTCTCTCTCTCTCTCTCTCTCTCTCTCTCTCTCTCTATAAGGGTATAAAATAATAATAATATGTTATGATAAATTTCTTGCATAAAGACTGAACGAATAATATCTTCATAAGAAAAAAAATTATATATAATATATGAATAAAAGACTGTACCCCTTTTACAGTATGTTATAACAAATGTACAACTAAACAGTCAGGGGGTATAAAAATACTGTATAAGTTCCTTATATGTTTAAACAAAAAATAAAATATATACCCATTTTTAAATCAACATTAAACTTCAATAAAAAAAAGGAAAAAGTTATCGCCTATTACAAAATTTCGTTTCAAAGTTCAAGTGGTCATAAAAAAAAAAAGAGAAAAAAAATTAAAATAATTAATTTTCTTTCAACACATACATACATATAAGTGTACATTCCTATATATTTTTTGTCGTTATTTACGACTTATTAGGTGTGCCTGTTTAATTTATGTAATTTTTATCTAGTCTGGTTGGATAACGGGCCAAAGAGCTATTCACATACATATTTATAATACATATTATGTCGTGTACATAATACTCATATATTGTATACACTTAATATATTTTCCTATGATAGCGCAAAAAAAAAAAAAAAACATTTTATCAAATATCCATATATAGGTATGAGCTTCATTCGTACAATCACTCACAGGCCTAATAATTGTTTGGGTCTCCATGGACCCGATAATATTTCATTAATGCAGTATAAAATAACGTACTCTACTCTTCGAGTACAATAGATGATTTTTTTTTGATTTTTTGTTTACTCAATAAATAATAATAATAAAAGTAAATCGTTGGCCTGTGATAATAATAACAATAATTGTAATATCCATATAAAAATAATTCTCCAACACATATTGCATAATTTCCTTTTTTCGTTATCATTAAAAAAAAAAAAAATAAAAAAATAAAAAATAAATTATATACGAGAATATAAAACCTTTTGAAAAACAAATAATTTATTATAATATCGTATTTGTAATATTTATTTTTAGATACCACTCGTAATATTAGATTTCTATACTTGTAAATTAGACGTTAGATATACATATATATTTTTTTTTGTTTCTAGTATTGTACAGACGGTTTTTTTTTTGTAACTATCCTAATTTCAGGACATGGTTTATTTGTTAAAAGAAAATAATAATGATAAAAAAAAAAAAAAAAACGTGCGGAAAACAGTTTAATAAATAAATGAGATTATTATAAATGAAACTTTGCGTTCGTTTTTCATTTGATAAAAACCGGTTTACCTATACGCATCATATATAATAACCGTACATCACAACGGTATGTTATATACATAACAATAAGCTGCGAGAATGAGTGAAATTCTATCTTTCTCTGAGCACTTGTTACGTAAAGGTCATCGTAGATGCCGTGTGCGTTCGCGACCTTTGCGTCAAAAAAAAAAAAAAAATTGACATTGTACTGGGCCATCTCGATTGTTTTTGCTAAAATATATTTCCATTTTTTCCCCTCTATTCCGTGATCGTGCGCGGACGATCACGACGATTACAATAGACATTATTGCCAACGGAGACTTGTGAACGAAGTGAAGTACTACACGCATACAGTCGATGGCGGGGAAGGGTTTCTTCCCCGTCCGATCGCCGACAGGACGAAGTAAGAAGTATGCGGCACAGTCGTCGACGTAGTAAGTCTCACGCTAACTTGGGTCGTTTACGTGCGCGCGCGTACCTACCCAAGCACACGAAGCCAGACCATTTCTATTTGGAAATAGGATGGGACGGAACAACAATTTTGGGATCTCGTATCATTTTCCATAATCTGTTCACCGCGAGAAACTTGTAGATCCTGCAGAGGACATTATTCGGGACTAGTACCCGTTTAATATTATCTCTATTATGACCCTATATTTAATTGTACGATAACGTTTTCTACGAATATCATATTGAATATAACAATAATGTTTTTATGTTTAAGTTGTATTACGATCAAAATCGTAATAAATCGTATTATCCAACGGTGGTGGTTACTACAGCGGATTTCAGGCGCGTAGTTAGGTATTTTAATAAGGAGGTGTTATTAAAAATTAATCGACAGAATTATATACAACAAAATAATAACTTTACGTATACTTTATTGTACAAGCATACAAATGTTTTATTTAAATTTAAAATGGACATTTTATCTCATATATATATATATATTAAATCGTTTATGAAACGATACAAAATCACGGCTTCAGTTTATCAGATAAAACGGTGTACATAAGAAGCCGGGTCCCGGCATTGCATTTACTGTTATCATAATATGTATATATTTCGTTATGATAAATATGTGTTCCTTACGGTTCATTAAGAACTTTTACCTTTATAAGACTTAAGTATAGTATAGTCAAAGGGGGTGTTACTACACCTGTAACACCCTCCCTGGCTACGCACCTGGTGGATTTGTTTAATGTTCATAAGCTATGAGCACAGCGCGTGTTTTTGATACTTGGTAGAAAACAAAAAATTGCACGTGCATCCTCTGGTCTTACGTATCTGTACCCATCTACTACGAGATGAACCGACAGGTAGTAGCGAACCGACGGTAAAATATAGAAAGAAAATTATACGTGAAAAAAAAAAAATCTACGAGACAACAATCGTCGTACGCGTTGTATTGTACACCACCAACGGTGACTTTGGCTGGTTTGGAACGACGTTGCGTTTTGTCCGCGGCGTGCACCGATTGTTTTGTTAGTTTTGTTTTGTTTTTTTCCCACCGATGTCGCGATCGTAATACCATAATCGTCGTTACGATGACGGATGATCTACAGCACGAATTAGTCACGAGAAATGGACATTTCGAAACGAACGCGATACATATTGATGATACACATCCGTATGCGCACGAGATTTGTGTTTCGCAACAGACGTTTGGAAATAAAGAAGAAATTGCGCGCGCGACAAACGTAAAAATAAAAAAAAACAACATGGTGCCCGCGTAACGTAATATAATATGCCCGACCGACCAATTTGTAGTTTCATAGTTTCGTGCGCGACGTATCAATAATAATATATATACATACGTGTATAATATTCGTGTTACGCGGAGGAAAAGTGAAAAAAAAAAATAAATAAATGAAAAAAAAAAACGGTTTAAGCGATAAACCTTTTTTATGTTTTTATACGCTGTACGAGTATACGGTAGATTTTATTATCTCGACGGTTTTTTTTTTCTCTTTGCGAGTCGTTATTTCTTCGAATATAATATTATATAGTACACGTATTGAACGTAATGTGTTACGCATCTTTCGCAGACGAAACGGTCGCGCTTTTATTGTACGTCTAAATACATCGTATTATTTTATATTACGGTTTGTTTCCTCCGCCGTAACGTGTACTCAACCCATCAATCAGGTCCACGGGCTTTTCTTGATTTCTTCTTCCTCGCTTTCTTTTTATCTGCTACTACTGCCGCTACGATTTCGGGCCGCCGTAAAACTCGCACGCGGTTGTGCACCAATTGTTCGCAGGACGCGTTCAAGGAACACGCGAACGCATTGCGTGGACGGGTAATGTACGATTACGAGAACGCTACGACATTAGTGTTATCAAACGGTTCGGTGAAAAAAAAAAAAAAAACGTTTAACAGAGATCCGTCTTGCTATACGAACGTGAGATATACTATGGGTCGAGCACATTTTCATTTTTATTTTCTAGTTCACCGCACGTACCGGATTCGCTGCAGGTAGCGTGGGATTAAGCGTTCACGTACGTTCGGCATAGGGTGTACGTACGCGTAATAGTTGGTAAATGCGGCATGGGTCCGAGGTAGACTAAAACGTATTCGAAACAAAAAAAAAAAAAAGGTGCCCGCACCGTTATGAAAAGTATAAATGTGCACGCGTATTTGTTGCAAACATCTCGTCGCGTTCAACGGAATAACTGCTGCGCCGCGGCGGACCCGTAGTCTAATACTATACAACAAAACTATACACCTCATCAACTCGGGGAAAAGCAAACAAAATCGAAAAACATACGTTCTCAAAATCGTCGCGTAGAATTCGATACAAATTTAATGCGCAAAAAAAAAAGGTAAGGAAAGCATTTTACATAATAATATCATAAACGGACTGCGCGCACGTAACCGGTACATGTAACTGTAAATGTTTATCAGACACGTGCGACGTATTGCAGAATTCGCTGGATTTACCGATTTGAGTTTTTCACGCGTTTTCCCGCGGTTCGTCCGGATCGCCGTACGCACCGGAATCCGTTACCGCGTACACAAGACGAGCACTTAACTGGTCGCAAGTCCAAACGCGTTCGTGGTCGCGTGCACGTCAACAACAGTACCAGCGTATTCAACTCCGCCGTGCGTACATGTAATCGTAGGCGCGTCTAAAATTTTTTCGCAGGTATGGCCGATGAAATTTTTCATTAGGAAAATCGAAATTTCCATTTAAGACACGAGAAGACAAGTAGACTGTGACTTATAAACAACAAACTACCTCGAGAACGTACACGTCTAGTAATTGTAGCTGCTGCGGAGTAGTCATAGCTAGTAAATAATACACTCATTTTCTTCGAAAAAATAAAAGGTCTATAACATACAACTACACAGGTACTTACAGCTATGGATATTAGATAATAAATCTTATCGGTTAGTTTTTGTCTCATATATGTATAATATTTTATGTGAAAATATTTATTATTTAGTTTTGTTTTAGTCAATCGTTCTTTTTACTTTTCAGTAATTTACTTTTAACGATTTAACCATAAGTTTAAAACGAAGCTGGATTTTGCAGGTCCGGAGTGGTCCATTGCCGGAGTGGCCACAGCCGTGAACACGCCTGTCCACGTTATAATTATTTTCACTCAATCGGGCGCGCGCGTCCTCTTCGAATTCGGAATGCGAGACCGACGGTAACGAACGCATCGAAAATTTGTAGGACAACGGTGTGACATTCGCCCGTTTCGCATTTGGTATCGATACCGATCCGGAACGTCGGAAGGCGTGCGCGAAGGAAGTCGGAATGTCTGTCTCTTGTTGCTGGCAATACCGTCGGGTCGAGCAAACGCTATCGGAATATAATTTAATAACATTTGTTGTCGAACACTGCCGACGGCACGTGAGTAATAATAATACAATATCGTGTGTGTACAGGTTACGTACGTACCCGGGTGCGCATAGTGTTATGTCCGCTTACGGCGTGTCGTCGTCGTTTTCCGCGGATGTACAATATTACGTATTGTTTTTGTCGCTTACAATATGATATTTTTTTAATTTTTCCATTTTTCCCGTGCCAATTAAACCATATCGATATGAACGTGTATACGTGCATTTGTGTTGCGCGTTTAGATCGCCTAGCGTGACGATGTACGAGACGAACAAGTAAAGGCGAACGGACCGAAATGTCGAGCATATTATTTCACGCCCGTAATAATATTCATTTCGCGTTGCGCAAGTGCGCAGGTGTCGTCGATTAAACATTGTATCCGGGGATGTCCGAGACGGGATCGCGTCGAAGGGACGAGACGAAAAAAAGAAAACGTCCCCCAGTTTTATGCACGATAAACGATACACGATTGGAAACGGTTTTCGTGTACACATTATTATAATATTGTCCTGTATCGGCGCTGTGTTTCGGTCGTATTGTTTTAATGTCTGTCGATAATTCAATAATGTAGAACACATTATCATGTTTCGCTGTCGTGAAATAACCCGTTTCAGTTCGGAAATGATACGCGTCATCGGACGGGACCACTAAAACGGCGAGTCTGCGGTCCGGATATATCGTGTGAACCGGCGGTTCCACCAGCGAAACTGCACGTCGTCGTATGCGGTCGTATGCGGCGAAACGGAAACGAGATTCGTTCGAGGAAAAACACTAATCGTGTCCCGGTAAAAGAACACGAGCAAATATTACATACAAATAAAAGAAGTACATAAAACGGATAGTAAGAAAAGTTGGTAGACCGTTTGAACGGTTCGAAAAAATAATACATAAAGACCCCGACGACCGGTCGATTACTATGTCACAATAATTATAATGTACGTATTTTCATTACGATACGCCGGTTCGCGGTGACGTCGCGAATGTCTTGTACATTATTTTTTTTTTTCATTTTATTATCATTGTAGGAAAACGAGATCGCGGTTTGTTGTGGCGGGGCGGAAGAAACGCCGTCGTAACATATTTCCAGTTTTATCGACGAAGCACGAAATCGTTTTACAGCGCGCGAAACGCCGACGAATGTTAAACGCGCGTCGTCGTTTCGATGACGAAATCCGTCATTCCGACGATCGGCGCGGTTCGGATTTTACACGACGCGCGAAATCGCAATACTACGCGGTTATTATAACATAATAATACCGTTTCGATTTCAGCACGGCAATACAAGTGGTAATCGTCGCCTATTTTTCTCCCTTTTTTACCGTTATCGCGCCAGCCGACGCTTGTTTTTTGAAGTTTATTTTTTATTTTTATTTTTTATGTAATACGTACATAGATTTACGACGCATACGTATGTGATAAATGTTCGCGTTGATTTTCAAGACACGCGCACGAAAGCGTACGATAATCATTGGTTTTTTTTATATTCACTAATCTTTATTGTTTTTTGTACGGTCTGCAGGACGCGTGTATGTATTATGATCGCAATAGCATTGTGGATCAGCAGCAGAGACGCATTTAGGATCTTTCCAAAGGGCCAGAGGTATACGATTTGCACCGGTGTACATATACATACCTCGAGTGTCCTTAGCGTTTGATTTCGGAATAGAAAGTAAAACCACGGTAGAATAACATTTTCTAATGGCTAATCACGCGAAACGGGTGTATTCGAAAAATAAGACAATTATCGATAGCAACTGCAGTGCCCGCAGAATGGATTTTTGGGCCGTAAGATCCGATCCGTACCCCGACAAAAATACCTACAAAGTGTGCGTTAATCAAAAGTGTCCAGCGTAACGTATGTTTTCGAAAACAATGTTGACTCTTATTGTGTTTTAAACTAACTAATGCCAACGCTCTTGTGCTGCAGTTCTCCCGCCGATATCGATTGGTGCGACGATAGTCGTTTTGTATTTCGACCGCCGCTGCAAGTGGTTTTCAAACATATCGTACACTCGTTTACCGCCGCGATACGACGGTACGTGATTACGGTGACTTGAACACCGGCCGGAGCACTGCGTCCGGTTATTACCGCGCCGTGGTCAACCGCCTCGGGCCAACCCGCGGACGGCGCAAATCACTCGGCAGTTACACGCGCACGGACACCGTTTTTTACTATTGACGAATACGTGCAATCGTTTTTCTCGCACGTGTTACGCGCGTTTTGCAGCACGTGCGTCTCGCGGAACGTTCAGAGGTCCAAAGCGGGGCTGGATTCGAACGTAGGCTTTGTACGGTTACGCGCTCGCCGTGTACACCGCGGTATTATTTCCATTGCGACACCGCTGCGCAGAACGAGCGAAAAGAAAAAAAAAAAAAATGATAATAATCAAAACCAACTCGGTATATTACGGTACATAAGCCGTTGTACACGCCGGAGCTATTGTGCAACGGATAGGTTTTACCGAATCGGCCGAGGCTATCTATCGAGTGGACGTTTTTCCGATTCGCGTACGTGTGTTGTTCGAGTGCCGAGATATTACGTGTCAACGAATAGCGTTTGTGCGCGCAACGATCTATTCGAACGGGCACGGTACGGCTGTTACATGATGAAATATCGACAAATTTCGTTTATACAGCGTTCGATTATTGCTTGAAGTGCGGCATTACATTTTTATCAGCGCGCAGCAAAGTACCTATTCGTTTCAGACTGATTTGCCGGTTCAATTTATCGGATCGTGTTATTAATTTCTTATACATCGAACGATATACATATATATATATATAGTTCGTATAATAACGTAATCGGCTGCGTACGTTTAATACATTTATTTTTATAACAACACTTTACGTGTCTATAGATTTGTTTTATATACTGTTTCACTGCAGTTTTGTCGGTCGTTCGATTTAATTCATAATTATAAGCAGTGCCGGATTAAGGGCCGATGCCGTCCTGGAGCAAATAATGTTTGACCCCCTCCCCCTCAAAGAAATAAGGTTTAAGTGAGACCAAAAAAAAAAAAAATTTCTATGTATAAATTAAAAAATAAAATACTACTTATAAATATATATTATAAAATATAGGTACCTAATATAATAATTAATCTACTTAAACTAAAACGTATAAATAGGTATATGTTTAATATCACAGAATAGTTTTGCAAAGAATTTTTTTAAACTAATGGAAAATACTGACAAAATACAATTATAATATTAATAAATTGGTTCAAAATATACAGATAATAATTAAAGTAATTTTTAATATTAACGCCATGGCGTTAATTAAAAAAAAAAACTATAACCATATAACTATGTATATATCATAAATTATTTATTTTTTTTTAATTATATTTTTTTATGGATTTAATAGTTACAAGTTTTTATGTTACTTCTTATCACTTAATTTCCTCAACCAAATCAGATTCTATGCATAATATTGATAAATTGGACATTTTTTCTTGTATTAATGACGGTCTTAAATAATTTTTTTGAGGCTATTTTATTTATGTCGCTCCACTAATTTGCCGCCCTGGAGCAAATGCTCCTTTTGCACCCAGGTTAATCCGGTCCTGCGTGGACGTGGAAGAATAAAAAGGTTTTCCTTCGATTTCTCCGACACCGAAACGACATCACGCACTGTTTAGATCCTCCGTGAGCAGTGAGCACTTGTCGTTTAAATATTTACACGGAAATCGCGAGGACTACTCGCTGAACAATTATGTTTTTATTTTTATTTTTTATTAAATCAAAGTTACTTTCAGCACGTTCTGAGTTTATTTCGAACCCTGTTCTCAGCTGTGCACGATGGGAATTACAACGTTCGTCGAGCGCGAAGCCTGTGTTGTACAAGGATGCTCGTCCTTATTTATAGTACAAATAATAATAATATATATATACGATATGCTATAATACCTACGGCGATGGGTTATTTTTTTTTCAAGCGCTTCTTCGTAGTATTTAGATTCATCTCTTCCCTGAAACGAACCGATAGAGTTTCTGTGCAGTCGACGCGTGACGCGGCGCGGTCGGTGGAGGAGAAAAACCGAACCACGGTCGTAAGTAGAGGTACCCATCGGAGATTATACGTATTGTCTACGAATATATATATATATATATTTACATTTATATCCGTACTTAAAATGTCGTGCTGTGCGCACGCATGTACTGTATAATATATATATATATATATATATATATATGTACGTTGCTAATTGATCGACCGAAACCGTTTTCTGGTTAAACTTTCTCAGAGTTCGAGATCACGCGGCGTGCGACCGCGCGCAATGAACGAGAAGCTGGCACGCACGAAGTCATTACCTGTACTCCGACGACGACGGATACAGATGGATGGGTATATCGGCAACGACCGAGAAAAAACGCATCAAACATTCATTAAGGTTTAGTTATTATCATTATTATTATTGTAATTGTTAATATTGTACTGCTGCGCGTCTACACGTCGTAATCGAACGAAACCCATCTATTTGCGTATAATGTAATACACATATTCGTGTACGGGTACTCTTCTCGTGAACACCACGTTGTATGCGTATTTCTTCGGATTTCGTGAACGTGATCCGAAGATGAGAGTGCCGTATTCCTCGCATATTATTCGTATCATTACACCGCGCACATGCGTACGTAAATCCGACGGTTCGTATTGATCTCCTTTTCCCATAATTATTTCGAGGCATCGAAATGGTGTTTTTTGTTTCTTGTTTTTCGGCCCACGAAAAAATTACCGATTAAGTATCGAACGTGTTATGCTATATCTACATGTTGCGTTTACAGAGTAGTAGGTACCCACCGATTGATCGTATGACATTTGCTCGAAATACAATTGCTCGCAAACGAAAATTGATCGAAGGTAAGTCAATATAAATTATTAAAAAATACGTAAAATTAAAAATTAAATCAGCAATTGGAAATTATAAGCACGTAGATAGTAGAGAACGAACAGATGATTATAATCATAGAACATTTTTTAATTCTCTTAGCCCCTAACTTGGTGTTTTTTTTTTAGGTTCAGTGTTAGATATATACTGCTTAATTTTAAGTCGATTTATACTTTCTTCTTTCTATAAAACTTCAATAAAACGCCATATTGATGGATTTTTTCCACTTGAGATCGACGCAAAACAGTTATGCTGACCTTCAACGGAATTATTTGTTGTTGCTATATCTAGTTATATTCTTAAAATGACAATATCGTCTGTCTGATTTGCCTAACCAGGTATTTTCGAAATAGTCTAAAAACTATATTAAAACTTATATTTCTTCATTTTCTGTATAATAATTACTTTCAATTAAAACACTAAATTAATTCATTCCTTACATCATCTTTAGGTATAAATCCTAAAGCTGGTAACATTCTTAATTCCAATGCAAATTCAGTGTCTTCGCTGTATTCTTTTGCAAGTCAAATTCCTAAATATAATGCCACATACTCTGGGACAAATGAAAAAACATCCATTTACTTCAATACTTGAAAATTATGTTTTAATTGAATTAATAGTAGTAGCTCTTTTATAACCAATCGTTATAGTTTTTGGTTTTAATTACCCTTTAAAGCATCAAACTTTCGACAATAGGTATTTTATTTTTTTTATCTGGTAGTAATACATGAACACTGGAAACCACATTTGAAAAACATGTACCATGAATTGTGTATAATTGCGTAAAAATCGGTTTATATAAAAACTCTAAATAGGCTATCATTTTTTTGTTTATTTCATTGTTTACATACACCAATCTTGTAATGGCGAAATCTTAAAACACGTCGAAAGTATTTAACATACACTATAATAGTGAAAAAATAACAATCTCGGATTTTCCATGCACCACGCCGATGTACGATATAAAATTACTATCGGTTGAATCCTATATTATCTTTATAACTAAGTACAAATTGCACCACGTCGACGTACGATGTAAAATTACCATCGATGTGACTCGGTGGAAACATGAAGTGGGCCGGTTTATTATTAAAAAAAGGTCAATGATTACATTACTTATTCAGGTTATTGCGTTATCGCGCAACGGATTTGTTGTTTGCGAACAATAATTGATCAATTGTCGTTTGCAAGTAATTGATTTCCGATCGAAAATGTTCGAGTAATTCTATTGCGATCAATTACATGTATCCGTAATTGTATGCTCCGGTAATTCAGAGCAGCTGGTTTAGAAATTATTTGAAGTAATAAAAAAAAATGTTTTTCTAATGCATACGATCATCGACAATAATTATATCGCTTTCTTTCGTTTTAATTTGAATTGTGAAACGTTTACGTGTTAGTAGATTATTTAAAAATACTGCAAACATACCATTATAATATGTATATTATATGTATGTATAACAGTTATATTTTTCTGTTCCAACTAATGCTGCGTGCAGTCCACTGCGAAGACGGAATCTCGCCAGTTGACCGAACCAATTAGAATCTTATCCACTAAACATGGATTAGTTTCCAATCTTAAAAAATCAGTTGCTGGTTACTTGTCTGAATAACAAAACACGCTTTTATATATATATAGTAATCCATTGAAATTGTAAACAAAAAATATTAACACAACACGTAGCAGTTACGGTATAACATCAAACAAGTGAGATTTAATGTGAAAAATTGAATCGAAACTCGTGTAGTTCGTGAGTGTTCAAACACTTGGAATTTTGGGACTCGATAATTTATTCCAGTTTAGCCTTTGTTATAATGTACGATATTTTATTTTTACAGAGAACGTTGTTGCATACAATGTGTTCTTTATTACGCGCGTTTAATCGATTCCGCGGTCGTCCGAATGGAAATCCGAAGCGACCATCGAAAACAAATCACTCTGAAACGGTCGGTGGTGCAGTAGCACATACGGAATCGGTGAAAAGCGTTTGTTCAACGGAACACACGATTTTTGCATAAACGAATTATAATCGTACAACACGTTGTATAGAAACCGCTGTCGTCTATTTATAGGCATAATAATACGGTGATCGCGTTTATTTTTCGCCGCCTTCCGAACCGTGGTGAAGGTTATCGTTTTGCAAATTCAACGGATTAACATGTGCATGGGAATGTTGTGGAAAAACTGAACGACTGCAAAAAAAACATTCCACTTGTGAAATACGCGTAGCGTTTTACGCGATGCATTATAAATGTGTTTACCGCACGGAATTTTTTTTTTATACAGTATTGTTCGGGGCCGACGAAGTGAGAACTGAAACGCACGTGAATATATTATCATTGTTATTATTATTATTGCCATCACTTTATAATATTAGAAATATGAAACACCGTCGGGACCGTTGTGAGTTTTGAAAAATTAATTTTTGGAACGGTCGTCGGACCGGTGCCACCGACGTCGCGGTCTATAAACATCACGTGCTCATTATTTTTTGATCGATTACGAATGCGCGCGGAAAAGAAATCTCAGACGATACGAACAATTTATCGTTTTGCAGTTGCTGTGCCGACGACATACGCATCTTATGGACGACAGTGAAATAAGTGACGCACTTGGGTCACGTACGCGTTCGAATATAATCGCGTTACGATGGCGGCGAAACGCGTATTGCCTATGAACTTTGTACGCGTGTTGAGATTGAGATCGCACGACAGTGTCGACGTGCCTGGTTGTCGATCGTACAACACACATCCGTTTGGCCGACATCGGTCGTGTGGGCAACGAGAGGTAGACCAGCTCGTACGGATTCGGACGTTTTGATATTCATCGTCGCGTGCTAGTGCCCGCAAGAGAGTGAAGCAATGCCGTCTGCGAGACGCTCATACAACGCTCGAACGTCCGTCCGAAAGGGTTATGGGCGGATGCTGTGCACTGGTGTAGATACAATTTTTTTCTGGGGTGAGCGAGGGATGTTTAAGAGTCAATTCATAATATTCTTAGTATATCTTAATACGAGGTCCTATACAATAATATGACATTTAAAATGGTATTATTATTATGTCCCGTATTTACTGAAAATTATTTTATAACTCAAGTCAGCCATTATTTTCTAATGCATTCTGTTGTTCAAAGGAAACATTTTATTATTTTATTTTATTTTTATTTTTATTTTTTTTTTTTTTTGATTCCGATGATCATTTGTTGGGATCGAGTGCTCGAAGCTGCAAAATATCTTACGTAAGTTAGGTTTTGACGCAGGTACATCTTCTGTAATACGTCTTAGTAATATTTATTTTCGAACATTTGAAATATAACATTGTAACTTCCTGGCAAGAAAGCGATTTTGGGATATTTTTAAAACGAGCGTAAAATCAATTTTCATCATTTCGCAATTATTTGCGGACGATGTTTCGTGAGTCGTGACGGCGTAGCCATTCAAAAGGAAAAGCAAGGTAAGCGGTTTGTTGAAAAAAAATAATGCACTACTATTTATTTGCATTCAATTTTTTTCGCTCGTTCAAAATGTGAATGCAGCTTTGTTCATCATCATCGGTAGAGAAATACGTGTCCGACGGATTGAACGACTTCGTGTCGTATCGAGTCGATTCGTGTCCGTACGAAAAAAAAATGATTGATTTTTTTTTTTCACTCTACGCGATATTAATAAAATATAATGCTAAGGGATAATAAAAGGCGCATATCGAAATTGCACGTGCTCGAGTGTATATATGTTTATATATATATGTATAACAACAGTCGACTGTTTAATTTTTTATCGAACCAATTGCAAGCGGGAGTGTACGCAGATTTTAAAGATCGATACCCCGGTACTGATCGAAACATAAATAATGTATACATAGTCGTCAAACGTGTACAGTAATGATGCATATTATGTGTACGAGCGAACGGACCTTTTACCGAAAACTGAAATAATGTTGAAAACACACTCGGGCAATTGTACAATATACTCGCAGTTCGAATCCAGATAATTCCGTGTCACGTATGTTGGTTTTCGAAACGTCGCGCGCGTACATTTACAAACACATATCCATTACGCGATATGTAACACAACTCGTACGCGTACACGCATCGAATAATCTCCGTGCACTTTTTAGTGGTGTACTGTTTACGGCACACGTGTATACAACACATTGGCGCAACTAGGAGTGGGGGTTGTGACCCCCCTCCCCACCCGACATTTTTCTAAAGTTTTTCCAATTCTACGTAGGAAAAAAAAATGGTTTATCTTGAAAACGCGAAACGGCTGATTGATATGAAATATGAATATTATTCGTATTCTAATTGATAACAATAATGACAATATGGAACGTTTTGTAACGTCCCTTTCAACATTTTAACATCAATAACACTGCTAAAACGATTTCTCGACGGTCGATTGTATAATACCTACTTTTTTTTTTGTAGTGTCACAATACGAAATAGAAGTTAAACAGTTTAATTTGTTATTTAAATATTTTACTCATAAACCTAACACAGTCTC